ACCGATTTTCAGGAAACTTAACACACATCATTCTAGGACTAATTCATTACGCTGTGCCAAATTTCGTGCAAGTCGAAAGATATAAAGGGACTTTGGTGCACTGATTTTCCAATTTCAAAAGGGTTCGTCCTTGGGCCAAATAAGTGACTTGTGCCAAATTTCATCCAAATCGGATCACAAATACGACCTGCACTTTGTTCACAAAAATACATGGACGGACGGACAGACGGAGATGCGTAAATTTAATTTAATAAATTTTGATATAGCTCCCATATATAGTTTACTTCGATTTAAGGTAAATGATGCACCAAAGTCCCTATATATTATTCGCTTTGCATGAAATTTGGCATAGAGTACTGAATTAGGCGCAGAATGATATGTGCCAAGTTTCGAGAAAATCGGTGCACCAAAGTCCATATATATCATTCGATTTGCATTTGGCATAGAATACTGAATTAGGTCAAGAATGACGTGTGCCAAGTTTCGTGAATATCGGATCAGATTTAGATATAGCTCAAATATATATTTTCGTCCGATTTAATGTAAATTGTGCACTAAAGACCCAAAGATTGGCCCACCCGCACACAATTTCGTACAATGTACTGAAGTTACTATAACCTTATGTGTGTGAAGTTTTCTTGAAATTGGTTCAGATTTACATATAGCTCCTATATAAACTTTCGTCCGATTTTAAGTTAATGGTGTACTAAAGACCCATAGCTAGGCAGATTGGCAAAACGTACTGAAATTAGTATAAATTCATGTTGATTGTAAACCAAATAATCAATGGGTGCTTGATTGATATTACATTTTAAACAGTGAAGCATACCAAATAGCGTGCGTAAAGTTTGCTTAAAGTCTATTTAAAAAGTATTAAATAGATTGCAGAATGGCATGTGTAAGGATTGATGTTAGTCGGTATACTTATAGATAAAGATTGCAATTTTAAGTAGTTCAATTTCATGTCAATTTTCCTTCGAAAAGACGACATCTGTAAAGATACATATGTAGAATATCCCCAAAGTAGTGAAGGGTATCATATAGTCGGCCCAGTCCGATTTTACTACTTTCCTAACACACTTTTTGCTTTTATATGCTTCTTCACATTTGTATTCTTTAATTTTGTTTTGACTACCAAACTCAACGAATGCAAGCAAACAGCTGATTGATATTTTAAATGATTGCCATCGTTAAAGAGTTGTCATGAAGAAAAACGCTGATGTTCTATTGAACAGCTGATAATAATTGGTAATGGTTACCATTTTTAAAGGATTGTCATTGTTACATCATAATTGTATAGCCATATCAAATTATGTAGTAAGAAAAATACCAAAATATTTAAAAATGTTGTGTATAGAATAATGCTAAAAAATGCTAAATAAGTAATTGCAAAATGCTAAATGAAAATTTTGCGGCTAAATACAAAAATAAAATGCTAAATCTAGCTGCAAAAATGCTAAAATGGCCACACTGGTCATACGCTACCTAAAGACTATAGACCGATTAGCCTTTCTTCCTTTCTACTAAAAACTTTAGAAAGGTTACTAGACTCAGAAATTAGAAATACCATTGACCGTAGTAAACATCATAAATCCCAGCATGCCTACATCAAATGCAGATCAGTGGATACTGCTCTGCATGAGGTGGTTGGATACATCGAGAAGAATATTGTTACGTTCTTGGATTTTACCTAATCCCGTGTAGACGTTGTTTTATTTCCCAATACAGTTCGTACTAAATAAAGCGCGGGTTCTTTCAGATTACGATTATTACAATGAATTTATTCACACAACTTTACTTTGCACTTTACTTTACTCGACGGTTTCAATTCGCGATCTGATTCACAACTGACTGACTGCCTTTCCATTTCCCCTATTTATATGAACCTCGCCTGTCGCTACAGAAGTTTCTAGACGATCTGGTAACACCTAGATTACGAACAATCTACAAATGCAACAAACACATACAACCTTACAGTGAGTAAACAATAACAACAACACATATACAGGCGAGAGGTAACAAAGAAAGAGGAATTAAGCGATCATCAATGATGACGTTTAACAAGAATTGTACGTCAACAAAAAAATAGACCATGAAAGAGGAAATGGAAGGATGTAGAAAAATCTATACAGTAGTTGTTGTTGTGAAGTTATTCAAATAAACTGCGTAGTAGAAATTTACGTTACAATTCAAATTCTTAAATTAACGGAATTCATCTAAATTAACTTAAATCTAAAGTTATATTCGTAACAATATGGAGTCCTCTGGCTACACGTTGGCAGCATTCCTCGATATCGAAGGAGCTTTCAAAAATGTGAAGCTAGAGGCCATCCATTCTGCTCTCGTAGGCATAGGTATCCCCTCACTCCTTACGGAATGGATTGATAGAATGCTGGAAAGCAGAATTATCAATTCATCCTTAGGAGAGAGTTCCGTGAGGAAATCTATCAACAGAGGCACACCTCAGGGAGGAGTACTTTCCCCCCTTTTGTGGCATCTGGTGATAAATGAGATACTTATGAAATTCAATCATCTCAGGATAAAATCGGTAACCTATGCCGATGATGTAGTCTTGCTGGTTGGGGGTAAGTTTATAAGGACAATATCAGACATCCTGGAGGTTGCCCTTTCAACCCTGTCTAATTGGGCTTGCACTAAAGGTCTTGGTGTAAACCTCACTAAAACCGAACTGGTGCTCTTCACTAGGAAGCACAAAATTCCTAGTTTCCGTCTGCCATCACTCGGTGGAGTGACTTTAACCCTTTCTGATGAAGCTAAATATCGTAGACCGCAAGTTACTGTGGAATAGGAATGTTGAGGAACGCTCCAAGAAGGGATTGCTGGCACTCTATTCATGCAAGAATTCCATAGGCAAGAGTTGGGGATTGAGACCTGCATACGACGATCGTCTTACCCATACCTACTTATGGTTGTCTTGTCTGGTGGCAGGGGGTGAATAAAAAGAAACTGCTGACAAAACTGAGCTTAGTACAGCGATCGGCTTCAATTCTGATCACCGGAGCATTAAGAAGTACATCACAGGCAGCCTTGAATGCAATCTTGAATCTCCAACCATTGGATATTCTGATCAAATTCCAGGCGGCCAGGTGTGTCCTGAGACTCCGGCAAACAGATGCCTTGAAATCTCTGAATTATGGTCATGCCAGCATCCTAAACATAACGCCAGGTTATGACCTCTTTAGGGGGGATAGTCATATCAGTGATTATTTTCCCCCCAATAGGGACTTTAATGACATCAAAGTTGAATTTCCTAGTAGGGAATCCTGGACTAGTGGCTCCCTACCTCTGCCAGGTCTGTCTGTCACAGACGGATCCAAGATGGATGAAGGCACTGGCGCAGGCGTCTACTGTAGGGAATTAGGTATACAGAACTCATATAAACTCAACAATGACTGTAGCGTTTTTCAAGCAGAGATTCTCGCAATCACGAAAGCGGCCGAGATAGTAAAAGCACTTAATGCCGACATTACGGGACCGGTGACTATTTATGTAGATAGTCAGGCGGCTCTGAAAGTGGTGAAGTCGCATCATATAAACTCGAAAGCAGTTCATGATTGTAAGACCGCTCTGAATGATATACGACAGATTGTTGGGCTATGCTGGGTTCCAGGACATAACGACATTGAGGGGAATGAGATAGCCGACGAGCTTGCTCGAGGGGGGTCACAGTCGTCCAGTCTTCTGATTGAGAGATCTGTGAAACCCCCCATTAGCTATTTCATTGGCAGAATCCGTGCGTTCCATTGCGAGGTAGTCGGTAACAGATGGCTAAGGGAACCTGCTTGCAGAATCTCTAAATCTATCTGGCCAGAATTCTCTCGTAAAAGAACGTCTTCGCTGCTGGAACACAGCAAGAGCGAGATCGAAATCATTGTGGGGATTATTACTGGTCACTGCAAAGTTAGATCTCTCACTTCTAAGTGGGACTCCAGTGGAGAGGATTACTGTCGTCTATGTGAGGACGAAGAAGAACTGGAAACAATTGAGCACATCCTCTGCAAATGTCCATCGCTGATCAGCAGAAGACATAAACAGTTTGGATGTTATGAAATTGATAATCTAGTCTTCTTCTCCAAAATAGACCCTAACCAAATTCTAGGCTTTGTCAAAAAATTGACTTGGCTAAAATAATCTCTGTTCCGCCCCCTTCTTCTCACTATTTTTCTCTCTATACTTCCACTATTTTTTTTTTTCTTTTCTTTATAGGTACACTTAAACATAAAGGATGATCACAATGGACATAGTTTCCGAGTGGACGGTTGTTACAACAACCGTACATCCCTAACCTAACCTATACGCAGGATTTATTACTCAACATTTTTTGAAAAATATGTTAAACATATTGATCCTAATTAAATTGTTTATTCTTTTCTTCACGTCATCTATTTTAATTTTCAAAATCTGATCGCTTTACGTTACCGTTCCTCAAATAAATGTGTTTAATAAAACATGCAAATTAATGCTTTATAATATTTAATATATTATAATAATGGTTACAATTTTTTTTTTTTTGTTAGATTATGTATAAAAAAATGATGGCACTTAGGTGGTAGTATATTATCGATGCAATGTATTGTTTTCCAAGAAATTGATATCAGATAAACGTGAAATGCTTTTTGTTTTTCTAAATAAAAGCATTTCACGTTTTAAATATTATTTAGGTAGACAAAAAGCATTTCACGTTTATCTGATATAAATTTCTTGGAAAACAATACATTGCATCGATAATATACTACCACATGAATGCCCTAAAATTATTAATATGAAATGACAATTGCAGCGAATGCGAAATATCGTTTCATATTAATATTTGTATGGCACTTATGTGAAAATATATTATCGATGTAAGGTGTTGGTTTCCAAGGAATTAATATCAGATAAACGTGAAATGGCTTTTGTTTTTCTAAATATATATTTTTTATTTACTTTGCTTTGTATTTTTGGCATCGTTTAAAAAATCTCTTGTTTATATACAATATCTATTTATTTGCCTTGTTGACAAATTCGGCATAATATTTTGGTATAAAGGTATTATCGGTTTTGCCTTCGTGTATTTTATAGATTACCGTTTTTTCTTTGGGCTTTAAATTAAATTCATACACAGTATCCAATGAGTTCACATTGCTCATAAGATTTTCAACATTTTCCAAGAATTCATATAAAAATCCAAAACAAATTTCTGGTTTAAAGTTGTTGTATACCTGCAAATAAAAAAATGTGCATATTATTTAGTATTATTCGTTTATATTCATCAAAGCAGAGAGGGGCATGGAAAAATATTATGTATATAGTTTGAACTGCAATTTTTTAAATATGTATGTACATGAGTGTCGCATTGATGATTGTCGGGTATGCATGAATTACAACAACTTATTGCATTAGGTTAGCGAAAAAAAAGAAATCCATTTTTTTGTGTGAATGGTTTAAAACAGTTTTTGGGTAGATTTTTAGCTCCTGGACGATACTGTAACAGCCAAATACGAGGGCAGTTGGGAAATTTCTTAGCCTAGCACGGAAAGCGCTGTTGTAAACACATGTTACATTTTGTTTCGATCTGGCAACTCCTTCATATGGAACAGGTGTTCCAAAAAAGATGCATCCGCAATTTTAATACAATGAAAGCACGCATTTCTAATTTTTCCACAATTGAAAATCAATCTCTTTTTCTGATACGTTTTGGGAATTTAAATTATACAAATCCTTAAGGTGTCAACTACTGGCACATTTCCCCATATGGTATTTTGTTCATCAATAAAATTAGAAAAACCAAATTAATTAATCTTACTTGAGGAAATAATAAAAGCAGTTATATACGTTATTTAGAATTAATTTTTACATATTCTAAATTAATATCCCTTTTGTGTCGGTTATGTTACTTTTTTATATCATTATTATATATAAAAAACTATTTGCAATGATTCCTACCTCAGGTAATTCAGACGTTTTTAGATGTTCAATTGGATTATTCACAACACCACTACAATCCTTATATGCAATATAAATATCATCAATATTGCTTAAACGTGATTGTACCCAATATCGCTGTAAAATATGTTCCTTCTTTTGTGTGGTCCACAGTTGTTTCGTAAATACAAAACGACATTGATTTAACATATCCATATCGTTCCTAAAATTAAATGGAACACCATAGTTTTGATATTGTCAGCAACAATTATTTCAAAATTACTTACAAATTATCCAATTTTTTGTCGGATATAATACCTTGTACATCGCCAGCATAAAAAATAGAAAATTTTCCCATATTAGTGCGATGCAAACAACTTAATGTTTTATTGAAATCAATGGGTTTATCCGGCTGGGGTTCTTCATCGGGGGAGTCTATAAGAAAAAATATATACATATTAAATAGAAACGCCAGAAATACAAGCATATAAAACATGTGTATTTTGAACAAATTATTATCATGGGTAAAGGGAAACTTAACTTATGGGTAAACTTAACTTATGGGTAAACTTATCATGGGTAAAGGGAAACTTAATTTCTAGTACTACTCATTAATTGCTAGTAAAATATTCCAATTTTCACTTCAATTCTACAGTATGAATTATTTATTTGTATATTTTGAAAATAATTTATTTGGACACATTGAAGTCTTTAGAGGAGATTTTTCAAATGTTTCACAGAAAAGGCGACCGCCTTATGTTTTAAAAATAAACAAGAACGCTTAAAAGAGTTTTGTATATTATTAAGGATTTTTGACAAATTGCATTATAAATAAAATAGCTCCAAAATACAACTCACTTTTCCCCGAGGTGTTTAATATCGAGTAGAAATGTTTTATTTTGTAATTTAAAATATGCATATATGGGCGATATTGCCAATTTTCTAAAAAAAGATAAAGCCGTGGTTCGCCTCTTAATAACTCAGTGAATTGTTTTGGGTTAATTGATCTGTCGTTGCAAACTTTTCATGATATTTCCACACTTTTGTGTGGAAGCTGTGTCTACTTTAATGTAAAAATGCTTAAAAACAGCTTAAGACGAACTAGGTTTTTTATGTTCTTTGTCGATATGTGACTAAGACACTCATTTACCGGTCTTTGTGTCAAAGTAAAACCAGAAGCCTACTAAATTAGGGCTACTTCTCTTATGTATCATTTTTTAAAATTTTAACACCATCTACATTTAAATGATGCTAACATTTTGAAGCTCGATTTTTAATGTTTTTTTAGTATTTTTGTTTTTAATACGCAAAACAGGAATTTCTAAAAATCGATTATAAGATTAATTTGGTATATATATTTTGTGTATGTAGTATGCACAGCTTCAGAGTAATCCTCATCCAAAGGTGGATTATTTACATTGCTATAAATGACCTGATACGAATTTTGAACTTTTGCGAAAACAGAACTTTAAAAACTTCAGCCGAAAGAGAGATGTATCCAATTTATTTCAAAAATAGTGTGTGCTGTAATATAAAAATATACATGGATTGGAAGATAAACTTCAGTATTTCCTGGAAACCGCATGTGCATTAAATGAATTAGAGAATTACCCGATTTAGACGCTTTTTAAAATATATATTTCAGAATATAGTTTTATTTTAAGATGTATTCATATATATATATATATATATATATAGAACCCCATCATTTTTCGGAAAGGTCTTGCTATAATCCGCAAGGTGTATACCTATACACAAGAAGTTATTATCTTTATATAAGTTCATTTTTCGGTGAAATTCGGTTAAACAAGAAAAGTAGTCCCAATCAAGGCTTTGGTCCCAACATTTATTTCTGAAATTTGTAAAAAAATAAATATGATTACATTATTTCTTCGAACCAAAAACAAATATTTTTCCTCAATCTCTTGTTTTATTGTCGCTGTAATTTACCAACCGCTACATAGACTTTTGTCATTTGATTCATCGTGGAGTTCCGATTATGTATGTATATATTTTTAAATTAATTTTTAAGTTAATACATGTCATACATGGCGTAGGGGATGATAGATACCAAGCAACGGCTCTGATTAGCTTTAACATGGCGAAGCCCAGGCTTATCTTGGTCCCTCTTTCATCTCAATTGTGGACACTGACCTCCCCGCGGTGCCACCTGGGGAGCTATTCTCATCACCCGATGAAATAGTGAGCTAATATGTGCCGCGAGTTCACCCATAAGAACTATAAAAAAATGGGTTGAGGCGTCGGGTTAGTTGCCCACTCTCGGAAAACCCAACCTACTATGAAAAAGCAAAGAAAAAGAAAACCAAACCCCCCTAATGTTGACGACCCCCGCAAACGTATAAAGGACCACGATCTGCGAATCTGCACTTGGAATGTGCGCACGCTATACAGAACAGGGGCAGTGTTCGCTTTGGCGGATATACTCAAGAAGTACAAAGCCGATATTATTGCCTTACAGGAAATGCGATGGAAAGGGACAGGCGTAAGTAAATCAGACGATTACGCCCTGTATTATAGCTGCCATGAAACGAGACATGAATTTGGCTGCGGATTTATGGTTAACAGGAGAATAAAAGACCTTGTCTCCAGATTCACTCCAGTAGATGAGCGAATTGCTATAATCCGTATAAAAGCGAAGTTCTTTTACATCAGTCTAATTTGCGCCCATGCTCCGACCGAAGATAAAGATGAACAGACCAAAGATATATTTTATGAGCGCCTAGAAACAGCATATGACCGTTGCCCTGGCCATGACATTAAAATTCTGCTAGGAGATTTTAATGCAAAAATCGGAAGGGAAAATATCTTTGGCCCCACCGTCGGAAAATTCAGCCTTCATGAAGAAACATCCGACAACGGCATGAGGTTGATTGGCTTCGCGGCAGCAAAAATCATGGTAGTTAGCAGCACCAGATTCAAGCATCTCGATATACACAAGGCCACCTGGATCTCTCCTGATCTAGTAAAGAGAAATCAAATTGATCATGTTGTGATAGACGGAAGGAGTTCATCCAGTGTTTTAGACGTCCGATCGATCCGAGGAGCGAATATCGATTCGGACCATTACCTTGTGGCAGCCAAGGTACGCACCCGTCTAAATGTTGCAGCAAAGGTGCGATCTAATACAACACGGAAACTCGACGTCGAAAAGCTGCAAACACAACAGGTAGCCGAGGCCTACTCCGCTCAACTTACCCATCTGCTTGAAGAAAGCACTTCTTGTCCCGATAATAGTATAGAAGCACAATGGCAAAGAATTGCCCACTCCCTACAAACTGCAGCAAAAAGAACAATTGGGTACCAAAAACCACCACCAAGAAACCCATGGTACGATCAGGAGTGTCGTATTGCTACTGATGTGAAAAACGCAGCGTATAGGGCAACCCTGCAGACAGTAGCAACACGTAACGTGATGGAGAATTATCGGGAGAAAAGGAGAGAGGAGAAACGTGTTTTCAGAAAAAAGAAGAAAGAACAAGAAAAACGTGAGCGTGAGCAAATCGAGATGTACAGGAGTCAGAATGAAGTCCGGAAATTTTACCAACGAGTAAAACACCAAACCGAAGGCTTTGGTGCAGGCACATCCTCCTGTAGAGATGAAGAAGGAAACCTGGTGACAGATACAGACAGCGTGTTGAGGATCTGGAAGGAGCATTTCGAAAAGCTGCTAGTATCAAATAGTGGCGATGAAGAAGATACCCCAGAACCAATAGGAGATGATGGTATAGAGTGTATACCACCTAGCCAAGATGAGGTCATAAAAGCAATTAATCGGCTCAAGAACAACAAAGCAGCAGGAGCCGATGGGTTACCAGCCGAACTATTCAAGGCTGGTGGCCAGATGCTGGTCAGGAGCATGCACCAGCTGATTAACACAATTTGGCTAGATGAATGCATGCCCAATGATTGGAACCTCAGCATCCTGTGTCCCGTGCACAAAAAAGGAGACAAGAAGATATGTGCCAACTATAGAGGAATAAGTCTCCTTCCCATCGCATATAAAGTGCTATCCAGTGTGCTGTGTGAACGATTGAAGCCAATGGTCAATGACATCATCGGACCATACCAATGCGGCTTCAGACCTGGCAAATCCACCATTGACCAGATTTTCACTCTGCGCCAAATCCTGGAAAAGACCCACGAAAAACAAATCGACACATACCACCTATTTGTCGACTATAAAGCCGCATTCGACAGCCCTATCCGTTCAGAGGTGTTTAAAGCCATGTCTGCGTTCGGCATTCCTGCAAAATTAATACGGCTATGCAGGATAACTTTAAGTGGCACAAGGTCAGCCGTTAAAGTAGGAAAGGACCTATCGGAGCCCTTCACTACCGAACGAGGATTCAGACAAGGTGACAGTTTGTCGTGTGATCTTTTTAACATCCTACTGGAAAAGGTCATACGAAACGCAAAGGTGAACAGAAATGGCACTCTGTACACCAAACAACACCAGTTACTCGCCTACGCCGATGACATCGATATAATGGGTCGAACATTGCGAGCGGTAACAGCCACCTTTGAACAAATTGAAAAGGAGTCTGCCAAAGTGGGTCTGGTAGTAAACGGCGAGAAGACCAAGCTGATGGTATCAACGCGCAAGACGTCCTGTAGACTCGGACCAACTGTGGAACTTGAGAACTACAGCTTCGAGGTAGTTAAAGACTTTATATACCTTGGTACCGCCATAAATAAAACGAATGATATCAGTTTTGAAATTCGGAGAAGGATTGTGATGGCCAACAGATGCTACTATGGTCTAAGTAAGCAGTTTAGAAACAAGGCCACCTCTCGCCAGACCAAACTCACACTTTACAAGACGCTGATACTACCCGTGCTATTATATGGATCAGAAGCATGGGTACTTGCGCAAGCAGATGAGGCAGCGCTTGGGGTGTTTGAGAGAAAAATTCTCCGAAAGATCTACGGGCCGATCTGCGTCGACGGTGAATATCGGCGTCGAATGAACCACGAGCTCTACAATTTATACGCAGACATCGACATAGTCAGTCGTATTGAGCTGCAGCGACTACGGTGGCTAGGCCATGTTGTGCGGATGAATGAAGAAGCCCCAGCTCAAAAGGCATATAAAAATGAGCCTACGGATGGTTCCCGTAGAAGGGGAAGGCCACGAATTAGATGGAAAGACCAAGTAGAAAAGAACATCTTGGAACGTGGTCTTCCAAATTGGTGGACTTGCGCACAAGACCGGCGCGCTTGGAAATCTTTTTTAAGCTCGGCTTATGGAACAACCGTTCTGTAACAAGCCAGCTAAGTAAGTAAGTAAGTAAGTACATGTCATTAATATAATGAAAATAATAACGCAATCTCCTTTAATTTTGTTATTTTTATCAGATTTTACGAAGGAAGTCATATATCAACGTTTTTGGTCAATATAACTTTTGCTCCCACCAACGAAACATTTAATCGCGAACTGATTCGGAGTCAGGACATTTTTCCCAATATATGTACCAAAATGTTTATTTTATGAAAATATTACAATTATAAATTTTTCTGCCGACTTCAGAAAACAGTTATTCAATACTCGGCATGTCTTATACACTTACTTTATAGGATAAAAATGTTTCAGATTAAGACCATGCCTAATATTGTGTAAACCCACTCAAAATTAATTTTTTATAATTGAATCGGCTTTTAGAATACTTATTTAACATTTTTCCCAATATTGAGCCAAAATGATCGAAAATGTGCTTATTTTTCACCCATATGCCGACTATAGGAAGATCGTAATATTTGTTATTCCTAATTACAAATAGTTCTTAATAATTTTAAATTCTAAAGTGTTCCTTTGTATGTTCCTAACAATTATGAAGAAAATTCGAGTGAAAAATATATAATTTAAATAAAGTTATGAGTCTTTTAAAATCGGCATGATCACTAATTTTTTCCTAAGAAACATGTACTGTCTCTAGTGGTGAAAGAACCAAATCGAGAAAACCCATAATTACTGCCTAATAAATTAACTTAGATTGATGAAATTTTACACAGAGATAGTTGAAAATATTATTGAAGATTATTCAAAGCTGTTTTCATATTTAGCCAAAGGATTTTTTAGTTATTTGAAGTTATATACAACTGATGCCGAGTACTGGTACATGCCGACATTAGGAGCACTTACCCTATTTCATACAATTTTTATTAAGCTCCAATGGTTGTAGCAACTTCTGATAAATTTCCACATAGTATTTACGACGACAATTAGAAGTTAGAAGGTCTTATTACCAATATCCAAATATTTTTGCGCGATTTGTTAATTCTGTTCTTAAAGTAAAATAAAGTTCACTTTAAATTTGCGCATTTTTTAAAAACAATTCATCTCAAATTCTATCTCTACAATAGATTTAGATTTGGTGATTCATATTGCACACAATCGAACCGAATATACAATGGACAGATAATAACAGATATATTAATTTTTATTTGTTGGCATAGAATGTCTCCATGTGTAGCTTAAGCTACGAATTTGACTTTATCCATAGATGGTGGTTTGTGTTTTGCAGGTTGACTTCGATCTTCTTTAAGAATTCGACCACTATGTTCAGACTTTCTAAGCCTTGTGTATCAGTGAACTCTTCTACTGTGAAGGAGTCACATAGTTGCGGGAAGCATCTTCTTTTGTTATTAAATTTACGAAAATTAAAAATTTCATGCACAGCTGTTTGGATTCTGTTGAACGACTCGGACTTTATAGGTTATCCGTATTTGAAAACACACGTGTTAGTTAAGCGAACGCTTAACAACCGCCATTTTGTAAAAATCTATTTTTAAGCCCGTGGGCGTATAATACTCATTTAAACCTTTTTAGGTCACGTCTTTCTTGTGAGCCGTCCGAGGACGAACTGTAAAAATTGATTTTATTTTATACGTACCTGTAAATAAAAGTTGTTCCAAACGTTTGTGGTGCATATGTGGTGGTGTATGCCTATACACCAAGCTAGTCATGTATAAATTTCCATTGTGGCGTGTTACAAATATCGTGTCATCATGTATAGAATAACAATATTCCATTAGCTGTGTAAGTACACGACGACCGGTATATACATTTGTGGTCTTCACATTGGGCTGATTGATCGAATCGTCTATGGTCATGGCATAAGTTAGAGGTATATGAAGCCTAGTATCACTTTGACCATTTTGGCATGGAATCCATTCGCCCCCATTTAAATTTAAAGGATAGCTCGATGATTTCGGTTCTTTAAAGTATTTAATATACTTTGATGGTTCAAATTTGTTGTAGTCATATGAATAAAATCCAACAATTTTTGGAGTTTCCATAATATCTTTGTATTTTTCGAAGTTCAATGGATGATGTCCTTCAACTTTCATGAGTAGATTTTTATTTTCCCCAGTCGCCATATCACTTTATTTATTTACTATTTATTTTTTTTTTCAATTCACTCTGCACAGTTTGAAATAAAACAGAAGACTAATATTATTGAGAATCATGACACATTTATAAAAGCCCATTATATGGACCATACCGGGTATGCATGATATGGGGTTATTTTTTGTTTAAATTTTGAATTTCGGGGAATCCACCATTCACAACAGAATGGAGCTTTGTTCAATTAACCTGCGTGGAGTTAGCTAAGTTGCTAACTTTCGATAACAACATTTTGAACGAAACTACAAGGTGATACAGAACGACCAAATTTTACACTTAGTACCATTAGTTCCGTTCCATAACCAACAAGAATCTACTAATTTTACAACTTTTTACCCGAAAACCGTTCCTCAACCCCACAAATTTGAACCAAATTTAAGAGAACACAAAACAAAATCGCGTTCTCCATGTAAACTTTTTACTCGAAAAATTTGAACGAGTTAAAATGGTAAACAGGAATGCAATTTTCTGATGGGCTGTTATGTTCATTTTGAAGTATTGCCATCTAATTTTGGCATATTTACTAGATTTGCGTTCCCGAACTTTTCAAATTATTTTGTACTCTTAGATCGATTTTGAAATGTTTCCCTTTTCCTAGCTTTACTATTAAAAAAGTACTGCTGTCGTAGTATAATTGAACGGTAAGTTCGGTCGGGCTTTTTCTTTGTTTAAATTTTGAATTTCGGGGAATCCATCATTCACAACAGAATGGAGCTTTGTTCAATTAATCTACGTGAAGTTAGCTACGTTGCTAACTTTCGATAACAACATTTTAAAGAAACTACAGGGTGACACAAACAACCAAATTTTACATTTAGTACCATTGTGTGCTAAAATGAAGAAACAAGTGAAAAAACGTTAAGTTCGGTCGGGCCGAACTTTGGATACCCTCCATCATTGGTATAAATTAATTCGGACGAAAATATATATGGGAGCTATATATAAATCTGAAGCGATTACCCAAGATTCATCATATGCATTTTTAAGATTCCGAGACTTTTAACTCAACAGCACTTCATCTTGTATATCGTGGATATATATGACTCCCTGCAAGCATTTGGAAGTGAGTTTCTAACGCCATCTTCAAATAATTATCTAATTCGACACTTATTTTTTGTAAAAGGGTGATACTTCGTAATTTTACAATAACAAATTAATTGTTATCCAATTTAGATCGTCTGTAGTAACTAATTAGTTAAATGAAAGAAGATGGAAATTCGATAGTTTCATAATTTAACTGTCGTTCTATAAATATTTGTCATCGAATAAAAATTTGTGGATACATTTTTATTATAGAAAATCTTCGGCCTGAAATCGTTTTCATTGCTGTATATAGAGAGGCGTGGAAAAATATAGATTTAAGGTCATGGATGTATAACTCTTTGGTTATAAATACAGAAGAATCATTTGGAACATTCATCGTTCAAAGCAAACATGAGCTCTACATCAAAAAAGGTAATTGAATTGAGAAGCAAGAGGAAGGCATCTGGATTGTTTTCAACCTTTTCCCAAAGTCAACAGAATGCAACATCCTCCGCAAAAGGTAATGCGTATTGAGCAAATTAGAACATCAGAAGGCAATGATATTTTGAACTTGATGATTTTAATGTGAATGGCAGTTCGGAAAATAGTGAAAGTGAATATGACGGCGAAAATAAAACTGAATGCACAACTTAAAAAAACTGAATCTTTTTCGAAAAAATTATCGGATTGGGCAACCCAAAATTATGTAAACCATAACGCATAATAAGCTCTTGGTCATGTTAAGAGAAGAAGGAATCAATGTACCTAAAGACTGCAGGATATTAAAAGGAACTCCAAACGAAGTATACATTGGTAGTATTTTAGGGGGATCATATACTCATTATGGGTTAAAATACTGTCATAATGCCCACTTCCTTAGAAAAAGAATTGCAATTGTTGCCTTCGCTGCCATTTTATGTTTTCGACGATTTTAAAAATTTTGTTACCTAACTTCTAATAGAAGATGAAGTTCGGGTAATTGGTAATAATATATAACTTTTATTATAATTTCTGTCACCGTTCGTGTTTGGGGAAAAGAAATGTCATCATTTGTTAAATTAGCAATTAAAGCTATTATGAGTGATCAAATAGCTGTTGAAATTATATGTCGTGGAACTATACAAAAACCCAGTTTTCAGCGATTTGCTACATATAGTATAATAAGAGACAAGTCAGCTTACTTTTGTGTTAATTTGAAATTTTAAAACATTAATTTTTACAGATATGTGCCATCTAAAATTTCCCAGACGTCGTTGTTGGACCTAAACAAAGTTTGTCAACAACATATTTTACACGATCGGGATAGAATTCACAAATTTAACTAAGTAATGTTTTTAGTTTTACTTAGTATTAACCTTAACATCAATATGATCTTTGTTTGGCGTTAAATGTTGACTTTTTTTCAAAATATAGGTTATTCATTATTGTTACTCATTATTCATACAAGTATTTTACTTTGGGTATCAAAAACTCACTACCAGGCGATATCGTATTTTAAAAAAAGAAATGAAACACGCATTCGTCACATCTTAAAGGTATCTTCTTGGTGAAAGTTGAAAGTAACTAAGTCGATAATATTTAAGGTAACAAAACAGAGTCATTTTGGAGTGTCACTTTATTACCTTCAAACTGTGACGAAGACGATAATTTTTAAAGGTAACGATTACGTGGTCCATTTCTTCCCAAACGGTATAACTTATTTGTTAAAAATACGATATCGCCTACGAGTGTTTTCATCGCCTGGTAGCAACTTTTTGGATATTTTTGTATAGAAAATGCTTGCTGGGCCTTATATATGTTTAAAAGAATATTTGTTAAAAATTTTTCTTTCACAATTCTGAAAATTATAAAAAGTCTGAAGAAAATGATAATTCCTTTTTTTGTTTTGTTTGTCGATTCACTACTTTTTACAATACCAGTAACTACAAAATTAGATAGCTTTTTCAATCAACAAATGAAGTCAATAATCTATTTTGTGTGTCACTTTTGGGTATAAAGTAACTAGTGAACGTAGTAACTAGCTATATAACTATACAATAGCAGAGAATTGCTATTCATTACAATTGCATCACCACATTATGGTGAAGGGTATAAAAAGGGGGTTGTATGGGGACTATCCTTAAAAGGGGTAATAATTTGTGGTAGGGAGATTTGTTAATTCGGTTAAAACACCGCTCAAGAACCCCAAAATACCGAAATTTGGAGGATGCCCTTATATGGAGGCTACCCGAAAAAATGATCCTATATTAATAATTTTTGTGTAGAGATTTGCTACGCAATAAGAACTCTAAGTACTAAATTGTAGCCAACTCAGTCGGTAGATACGTTTAAAACTCACAAAATACTGAAAATTACCACACTGTGGTACAGGGTATTATGTCTTTGTGCATATGTTTGCAACAGCAAAAGGAAACGAGATAGACACATGATTCCTTTTGAGAATATCCATAGCATCACTTTCTAAATCGATTTATGCATGTCCGTCCGTCCGTTTGTCTGTCCATGTTAAATTGTGAACAATTTATTTTGAAATTGGGAAAAATCGGTTCAGATTTATATTTTCGTCCGATTTAAGGTAAATGGTGTATCAAAGTCCCTAAATATCTTTCGATTTGCACGAAATTTGGTACAGCATACTAAATTAAGCCTAGAATGATGTGTGCTAATTTTCGTAAAAATCGGTTCAGATTTCGATATAGCTCCCATATATATTTTCGTCCGATTTAAGGTAATTGGTGTACCAACGTCCCTAAATATCTTTCGATTTGCACGAAATTTGGTACATCATACTAAAATAAGCCTAGAATGGTTTGTGCTAAGTTTCGTGAAAATCGGTTCAGATTTAGATATAGCTCCCATATATATTTTCGTCCATTTAAGGTAAATGGCGCAACAAAGCCCCTAAATATGTTTCGATTTGCACGAATTTTGCATATTAGTAGTCGGGTCTACCTTAATGACCATTTTAATGCTGCTTCTTCTAAACTAGTTTTTGTTTGTCGGAGATTGCGGAAATTAAATAAAATTAAAAAATTTAAATGAATAAGCTCAGATGTGCCTAAAGTCGAAGTGGAATTTTTTGGAGGTACTTCTAATCTTCTTGACATAAGTCAATGTGTTCAGCTCCTAGATGAATGTGGTGGTGCAGTGACAACGCCAGATGTTGAGAGTAGCTAATCTTATTTATAAGTATATATTTTATCAGTTTTTCTGCTGCGTTATTTTTTACATTTTTATAATGAGTAAGGCTGACTTCCAAAATGTTAATTGCTTTGCATTCGAACAATGCATCCTGTTTCATAATGCAACAGTACAAAATATTGTTACAAATATAACTTTAGATTTAAGTCAATTTAGATTAATTCCGTTAATTTAAGAATTTGAATTGTAACGTAAATTTCTACTACGCAGTTTATTTGAATAACTTCACTACAACAACTACTGTATAGATTTTTCTACATCCTTCCATTTCCTCTTTCATTTTCTATTTTGTTATTGTCGTACAATTCTTGTTAAACGTCATCATTGATGATCGCTTAATTCCTCTTTCTTTGTTACTCTCTCGCCTGTATATGTGTTGTTGTTATTGTAAGTTTGTTCACTCAATGTAGTTGTATGCATTGGTATATTGTTCGTAATCTAGGTGTTACCAGATCGTCTAGAAACTTCTGTAGCGACAGGCAAGGCTCATATAAATAGAGGAAATGGAAAGGCAGTTAGTCAGTTGTGAATCAGATCGCGAATTGAAACCGTCAAGTAAAGTAAAGTACAATCGGGAGGCGGGCCAATAACTTAAAACACAAAAAAAAAGTAAAGTAAAGTGCAAAGTAAATTTGTGTCAATAAAATCATTGTAGTACTCGTAATCAGAAAGAACCTGCGTTTTATTTGGTACGAATTGTATCGGGAAATAAAACAACGTCTACACGGGATTAAGTAAAATCCAAGAA